CATCAATGTATTTCAAAATTAATTGTATTAAACAAGTACACATATCTATATCTTTGTTTACATTATATAATAAAAATAACGTCAATTTTATAAAAGAAAATTAATGTAATATCCACCGCGCTTTTTAATTACTTCTTTGGACTTTGTCTATTATTCCTGATTCTGTTTGGTTGCATGCATATCTTAGAATGTTCTGCATATTTATAAAACTGAATACTAAACATAAAACAAAAACCTGAAAAGTGAACGAGAAAAAATAATAATTTAGACTAGATCAGCAGGTGTTCCAACACTTTTGGAGGAGGGTGTGTAGTAAATTCTCCCCAATTTTCCTTCAGCTTGTAAATAAAAATGAACAATATGGGAAGAGGAGATACGATTATCCGAGCCTCGCGGCTCTTTTTTATAGTTTCCGTTTGTCAGCAATTATAAAAACGAGGTGCAAGGCTCAAACAATTGTATCTCCTCTTCCCAAATAATTCATTTGTATTTACAAGCTTAAGGAAAATTAGGGAGAATTTACTATATATCGAATTTGATCCTGTCTCCAATTCCAGGCCAAAATTGCAGGTGTCTTACCGTGTACCGAGTTACTAGCATCCGTCATCGGCCCGAATCCGCTACGGTCCGGGGTAACTCGTTTGAAGGGTATTGTTACATTCCACCAGGAATTACAAGCGCTTTCGAAATCGCAGTAGCCGAGCTCGGGCGTTCGACTGCGATCAAATTGTATCTTCTTGGTTCCTTGCGGCATTCTTTCCTTCCAGTCGCAACAGGTGCCGGTGATGTAGCAAAGGCCGAGAAGGATCCTCAACACTAGGTCGCCGGTTAAGCGAAATCTACATCGGCAGTCATGTCCGGTGTTGTGACACGCCTGTCTCGAATTCGCGGTCGGCACCCCAGACCGCGTACCTCTGATCATTACTCCGTGGTTTCTTCGTGTAGCCGCTCGATATATCCTGCAAAAAGTCACACGCAACTTTTCACCTACAGCTCCGGTTTTACGTGGAACCACGGGCCTCGGTCCGCTCGCCGATCCCCTAAAACGTTCTTGAAACAGATTCCCTGACGTTTAACACGTTCCGTGCCGAGCTTTTTTTACTCGAATCTTCACACTTTGATATTTTACTAAAACTTGATGCATCAATGTATTTCAAAGTTAATTGTATTAAACAAGTACACATATCTATATCTTTGTTTACATTATAATAAAAATAACGTCAATTTTACAAAAGAAAATTAATGTAATATCCACCGCGCTTTTTAATTACTTCTTTGGACTTTGTCTATTATTCCTGATTCTGTTTGGTTGCATGCATATCTTAGAATGTTCTGCATATTTATAAAACTGAATACTAAACATAAAACAAAAACCTGAACTGTGAACGAGAAAAAATTATAATTTACACTAGATCAGCAGGTGTTTCAACACTTTTGGAGGAGGGTGTGTAGTAAATTCTCCCCAATTTTCCTTCAGCTTGTAAATAAAAATGAACAATATGGGAAGAGGAGATACGATTACGAAATTACGTGCAATTATTAATTCTCGTGCACATAACAACGTAACAAAAACTTATCAACGCCCATTCTTGCGGTGGAAATTGATTCTTCGGTTCTAAATTTCTTGTAAACAATTTGTTCAGTTCACTAAGTAAACATGCAAGCGTGTACCATCGATGGTACACGTGGCACGGAACGTGTTAATAAAAGTCGTCGTCGTCGTCGTCGTCGTGGTTTCGAGCCGATTTTTCGTTGCTGGAAACACTCGTCAACGGGTACTTGAGACGCGACCGAAGCCCTGGAACGTCTCGTTCTCGCAAACATTTCTCGTCGAATCCTCCGGTCGCACTTATAATTACTATTCAAGCTTTTATGGGTTCGTGTTTGAGGAAACCCTACCAACAGTTTTGCGAGGAAAAGAAAGTAGAGTTTTCTGCTCTTCGTGGCGTTCGCCGATAGAACGCTGACGCTAGAAACTGTTGATAGAAATAGTTGAGCGTAAAGTGATTGATAGCTTTGCAGGATACGGAGATGCATCGTTGGTGCTACATCTTCATTTACGGAAGACGGATAAAATAACATAGGAAGTATGACAGTTAACTATTTTCCAGAACTACCGTCTTTTTGTTCTAAATTTGACTGTGACACTTTAAATTGAACGATAAGTTTTTACGCGTACGAATGCTTTGACTGCGCTCATTTTTCAGGCTGTTTCGATGAGAGCTTATGCCGCCCTACCAAGCAACGAGCGTGCCTTTGCAACTGTTATTTAACACTCGAACGACGGACTTTTCAAATGAAAATATAACTGAATCTACTTAGATTCATTTATAATTTTATTTAAGAATTTTTTCGACATGTTTTTAAGGTGCTTCTTCTAAACACGTTAATTTCTCCATAGACCTTAATGAAACATGTGGCGATACAACCTCTGGCTAATTTTAATTTCTTTCAAAATTGGACTAAATGACCTGATTTTTTTTAATATTAAATGGATTAACTTACTATACAACTACTAAATCACTATTACTTGGTATGACAAAAAAAGGAAAAAGCTCTCGTTCTTTAACTTTTTTATCTGAAACTGGAACGAACATTTCAAAAATGCGTTTTGTAGATCTCGGTTGACGTTGTATATGAGCTGTGAACATTTAAAGTTCGTGAGAATAGCAGTTGTTCACGAATTTCAACCAAGAACAGGTAATTTTCTTCAGGAGACATTCTTCAAATTTTTGTTCTAGGCTCGGATCGAAAAATGAAACAACGATTTTTTCATTTCCTTTACTACTAGTAATATTAAAATTTAAAAAAGTGTATTTCAGTCATCATACAGTTATGAAAAAATTATTGTGTTTTAAAACGTGTTCGAATACTATTTTCCAGGGGTAGTATATCCCTTATCGATTATCCGAATTATCTGGACCTCGTTTAGCCTCGTTAAGCACGGTGATATGAATATTCGATTAATAAAAATGGTTAGTTATAGTACCAGATTTAATCCTTTTTTCATTTATACAGCAAATCGTTTTACACATAAGTTGCCTTAGATCGAACCGATGTAAAACATATTTGAAATCGTCCAAGTCCCGCCTTCCGAATATTAATATTTTATTGTACAAACAATACATTACCGTTATATTTTTAATCTCTGTGATTCAATATTTTCCAATCGATGCGTTGAAATATTAAACCATCGAAGTTAAAAGACCAAATATTATCGTCGCACCATCGGCAAAGCTGTTCAAGTCGCACTATTTCTAGTGTCAAGAGGGTGAGTTGGATGATGAAGCGAAGCGATGATTGGTGGAAATGGAATAACTGATTCACCGATACTCCATAATTTCCGGTGTGCCGCTACGAAATTGCCCCTCGTCGTGTTATCAACGAAATGTATCCGAGTTTCTTTTCAATCCTAATTCCAAGTATATACAAGATGTTTCGCATAATATGGAAGTGCAACATTTCACATATGATTTGTTTCATCTAAAAAAGCCCACATTAAAATCTACCCTTTCCACGTTGAAAGCTTGTATTTCTTTAACGCTAAATTAATAAGAATCCCCAAGTATACAACGCATAACTAACAAGACTCCGAGTATACAACATATAATTAATAATTGAGTCGTAATAAAAATGTTGTTTGCGCATTCATGAAAAGAATTTAATTAACGACTACCATACGGTAATGAATTCTTTTACCAATGGACATAAGTGTTTAAAAAACTACGAACATGAACACGTAATTACAAATATTGAATGTTCCTCGATGCTACACGCTTTTGTAGATTTATTCATATCAAAACGAAAGTGCGATATCATATTTCTCGAGCTCTACAAAAAAGCTACGCCAAAGTATAATTTTGAGAAATCCTTTCGGCGAAGTTCTGCAATACGAAAAGTATTTAAAAATTCGTGGAACAGTATCCTCAATTTTTAACGCTTATATAAATAATTCCATAACCGATAACAACGTCGAGCCGTTTCACCAAAAATCCTGATAAAAATAACGTTTCGTACGATCACACGTCGCTAAATACTTTACAGTTAAATGTCGACTACAAACAATGCCCGATGGCAAAGAAACGAGGGTACACAGAAATATCGATTTGTCGACAGCGAAAACGAAAAACGATTGCATTCGATGTAAGCGATCACCGTGTTTAACTCTTTGCACTCGACACGCAATCACGATCCCCGCTAAATATTGCTGTGCCACGTTTCAAAATAATTTTGACAGCGTCGAACTCGTTTGTATTTCAAAACTGTTAAGACTATAAGTATCGTACGTGCCAATGTGCTCGATTTCATACGCATAAATTGCAATAAATCGTAGCTATTTTCCGGACGAGAATTCTATATAAATAATGGAAATGCCGCGGGTCAGAAAACGTGTTTTCGAATTCAAACAGCTTCGAGCGCGAAGGGTTAATACAGTAGAGACTCCCTTATCCGAACATTCATTTTTACGATATCCCGGCATCCAAACGTCCTATTATTATAATATAATATAATATATATTATATATTATATATTATATATATATTATATATTATAATATAATATAATATATATTATATATTATATATTATATATATATTATATATTATAATATAATATAATATATATTATATATTATATATATTATATATATATTATATATTATAATATATATATATATAATAATATAATATAATCATGTATTATTTAGATAAACAGAGAACTCGAATGAAATTTTTAGATAACTTTTAATTGGTATCGGGATATTAAAAAAAGATAAACCTTCGGAGATGAAAGAGTAGTCTTCGCTGTGTTTTTGTTCCAAGACCACGGGAATAACGTCGGATTTGCAAAGAGCCCCGAAGCCGGTGATGAACAATGTACCAGCATAGCTTTCCCGTATTCATCCGTTTGTCTCGCGCGAGCAGCACTCCTCCGTTTCCGATTGTCGTCCAGCTCTTGTCAGTCGCGCATTGTCTCAGCGCGATAATAACCACGATTTCGACGTGCTTCCAATTGTTTTCTACCGATCGATTCAGCAGGGTGCGTGTCACCTGTATCAAACGAAAGTGGTCGATGAAAAAAGAAAAAAAAACACGGGTCCGGTCGACCCGAAATTCGAAAATACAGAGAGAACGACGCGGGATCGTGACCGCGACGCCCGCAAACGACGAAACGTAACTAGCAGCATCACGTTATAGGGTATAGGATCTCGCACTCTCAACTGGATAATCTCTTGATTGTCGTTAACGGCAATCGAGGAACTCTGTTTTTCCTTTTCTCTCTGTCCTGTTAGTCGTGTCCTACCTTCTCTAATTCCCTACGGCCCTCGCACTCTCTATCCGTCTCCGCGTTCCCTACGTCATCCTTTTCACTCCCTGCGCCGCCACTGTCTCTCTCTTTTCCGAAATATTGAAGCGATCGCTCGGCAAGTGAGGATCAAGTGCCCTCTCGACGCGATTCAACGCGAGATTTAGACGGCGCTCGTTACTCCTGTTTTCTCTATTGCTCCGTCCACCGTGCACGCGTTTTCGCGAGCTCGTTTTTCACCTTCCGGCATCGTTCGTGTTATTGACTCGCGCGGATCTGCGAGAGATTATTGAACCCTTTGCGATCGCAAATCTCGGCGGAATCAACATTGCCAAGCACTTTGATCGATCTCGTGCCAGCTTCTCCTACAACTCGTATTTACCAGCAAGAATACGTGTGTTTCAGTCCGATGAACAAATTGATTGGTTTCTTTATAATCAGAGATTCAAAGGGTTCCCGGAAAGAAATGTTTCAAAACTGTTGTATATCGGTTCTCGCTGAAACGGTTATCGAGAACCGAAAAGGTCTCGTAACTGTTCGAAGATGTGTTTGTTCTGGCTTGTATCGGCTTCGATTCTTTAGTAATATTGTTATTAATATTATTATATTATATCGCTATTTTTCAGTTATTTACAGTGCTTTGACGAAGAAA